TGTAGGATTCAGCTTATGGATGCCCTGAGAACCAAACTTCGATATAATGATGGTGACTCAAAGTAAGGTGCTTTTTTATGAGGTAAAAGGGGGTTTGGAGGGATGAACCTGACACTCCAAACTACCTCAGTCACTTTTAATATGCTTTCCTCTTTCTGTTTATGGCTACACTGTAGTACAATTTGGTTGGGTAACTAGAAAATGGTACTAAGATGATGATGTCTGACCAGTTGGCTTGGATTCTCTTCCTTTCTATTTGAGGAGATAAGTGTTCCACTTCCATGATGCCTTCACCATTAGCCTGAAGGAAAGAGTTCTAGTCACTTCTTAACCCAGGTCATCTTTTGCATAGTGTTGCCAGTGTTGCGTTAATGTTTAGCAAGCTCTGTGCCTTTTGCACAGAGTTAGAAGTGTTGACCATTAAACCCTGCTGATCTGCTATGAATGTAAAGAAAATATTTAATTGATATATTGAACTGTATTTAGCATAAATATGCCTACTTTTACAAATATTGAAAGCACATTATGCTTTTAATGATGCTAAAGGAACAACCTTCCCTCTAATCCCAAATAATTATGGTTAAAAAGTTCACAGTGTTAACTTTTATGGTTTGGTAATTAATTATTTATTCCTTCTTCAGGTTGATTTTGGAAACTGTAAAACACATCATAATGCTTAGTACTGCAATCCTTGAATCTCAGCAGGCAAGTATCCTTAGTATTTCTAATTATTAAATTGTTTTCAGACTTCAGTGGATTGCCAAAATAACTGTTTTTAAACATAGTTCTGAAAGGTGATCTCATTCTTTCTGGAGAAAACCCTTTGTCTAAACTGTTGACTGCCTGGGTGTAAGATTATGTTTATATTGAACATATTGTGATAAAGATAATAAATGCTGTAGATTTGTTTGAAACAGTCTGTTGGAAATTAATCTACAGAAGTTTAATAGACTGCTGTAGAGAGGAAGGGACATTAGCCCGAGCAATTTAACTGCTGGCAAGAGCCAGAAACATTAATGCATTAAAATCTGCTCTAGGAAGGGAATGCTTTTATTTTTTGTAAAGGCATTGTGTGTTCCACATTTACAGTTTGATGTAGTCTGTATTATATTTAGTCTATTATTCAAAAGATACTTTTCATAGTGCTAGTTGTAGATTCACAGATCTTACGGTAGGACTGGGTTGGATCCAGTCCCATGCTTCATTTCATCCAGTGCATAGAAAGTCTCGGTGCTACAAGTTGGAAGCCAGGAACCTCCACGTACCCCTTCAGGGCTGAGGCCATGAGTGCCTACTCACAGATATGTCCCCTCAGTTACTTTCCAGGATAATTCCTTGTCCTGCAAATGTGATCAGCTTTCCTTGTTTCTAGATTTTGCAATTGGCTGTATTAAAATGCTTATCATTTGACTGCACCTAACTTAACAAGTGATTCAGATTGTTCTGAGTAAATCTGTTTTTTACATTATTCACCACTCCACCAATTTGTCAGCTGCAAAGCAGTGATGTTATATATTCCTTCAGATCATTAATCAAATATTGAAGAGCACTGGGCCAAGAACCTCCAGAATCTTGCTAGAAACCAGTCATTAATGGAAAATCATTACAAATTAAATTTCTGAGATCTGTCTACCGGTTTTTAGTTTATCTAATACGTGCGTTACTGACTTTGTATAGTTCTATTTCTTTTAATCAGAGGATTATGTAGTAGTAAGTCAAATGCAGAACTGAAAAGTCCAGCTGGATTTTTTTCCTTATTCATGCATCACCACCTTTAACAAATATTTTGCAAACCAAATTATGCCCTTAGTTAAAACTGTGCAGCACTGTTGTGCTCCAATGTAATGAAGGGCAGAACTTGAGAACCATGAAAATGCACAAGTGGTCCTGCATTTGGAACTTAATGATTCACAAACCACAAAAAAAAGTCAGAGTAACAAAATATTTAAAAAAATCACTGACATAAACACACAATTGAATAGACAATAAGTAAGTCTGCTCAGTAAAGTCGCTTTTTACATAGATCTGCACTTTACCTCATCTTGTTCTGTTAAATGTATTTTGTGTATAGGATTATTACCTGTTAAACATAATATATTGTTAATTTGTATTTCTAATATCAAGAGGTTATAAAATCCTTTTTCTTAAACACAGCAAGCACGTGAGTTGGAAGAAAAACTGAATGAGATTAAAAAAAGGAGATTTGGTAAGCATATATTACTGCTTATAGGCTTGAACTTCCATACATGGGGTGCCCTTAATCCAGGAACACTCATGGTACAAAGGAGGAAATAGCTCTTTGTACTGCCATTCCCCCTCTCCTCCAGCTGGGGGAATGGCAACGCAGCGATGCACTTTCCTTGAAGCTTTTCCCTGCCAATCCTAGAGCGGCAAGGGCGGTGCCTGGAAGCAGCAGAGCGCGCTGAGTTTGCCAGGTCAGGGAGGGTGCTGTGGGATATGGACATGGGGATGGCCCCACCTCCATCTCCATCCTGCCCAGACCCTGCAGCGCCCTTCCTAGCCCAGCAAAATCTTTACTCTGGCATACCCTGTTTCCTGGCGTTGCTAGATTAAAGAGGTTCAAATGTATTGTTTTGCATGGGTATCGGGTGAAAGCCCAGCTGGGGAAGGCAAGCCCCAGCCCCCTCCCTTCTGCCCAAGGCTTCACCCCTGGACCCCCACCTACTCTGAGTCAGCCCTTCTTGGTGGCCACATGGAGAGCTGGGGCTGCTGCGCTGTGGCCTCAGCCCTCCCCGATGGCCAGGGGGAGCAAGGCTTCTGTGCTGCAGCCCTTTCCTTCCCCGCCAGCGGCCCCAGCCTTAAGACAGTCAAGTGTGTAGGGAGTTTTGCTACCTTCTGTATCTTTCAGACTGTAAGCTCAAACTTTTGTGACCAGCTTTAAAAAGTGTCTTCTGACAGCCACATGCAACAGCTTGTATAACTGTAAAACTCCAGTCTAGATGTAAAACTTCCTAAAAATTAACTGTGATGTGTACATGGAAAGTGATCTGGTATGTTGAATGTCTGCATGAAAACGGGACAGGTACTATGATTTAAAAACAATAGACTGGAGAGATTCAAAATGCAGCTTTATTTTACAGTTTTCTATTAAACCTCATTTTAGTGTGCTTTAGTACAACAAACCCTTATTACAATACTTCTTTACATACCATTTTATCACTTTACCTCTGTTTTTGCAGAATGGGAAAAGTCTGATCCATAAAGATATTTAGTAGTGTAGATTTTGGGAGTGGGAGGAGAGCAGATGAAAAGAGAATTGTTGTAACATGCCTACATGACTGGGCCCAGGGTTCAATATGATTTCTTTAAAACCATTCTTAAACTAAATTACTATATTGCATGTAGATCTTTACAAATATAGTGGGAGGGGTTTCCAAACTCTTCCTGGAATAATCTCTTCACAGAATCATAAAAAATTAGAGTGATCAAAATATATTAAGCAAGATGTGACATTTTGCCAGTCCAGGAGTTGTTCCCTGCAGTATATTTTCTAGAATTTTGTGCAGTCTAGTTCTAACTTCATTTTCTATTAACTGAATAGCACTAAAGCAAGCTGGAGAACACACATTGCTACAGATACACACTCTGAAGAAAAAACAAAAAGAGGAACTAGAGGGCATGGAAGTGGGTGAAATGTTAAAGAGAGTATGTAGAAACTTGCAAAAAGAAACACAGATGACTACATTAATTCAAAATATCTTCCAGGTAACTTAATCTGTTGCTTTGAAAATAAGACAAATTTGTAAGTCTTATTTCTATTGTCTCAACCAAACACAATTTATGAACTCTCTGTAGCACCTGCTTTGATGGTGGATATTTACTTGAGAGAAATACTACACAATCTCTAAAAAAAAAAAAACAGTCTTCTGATTAATTTACTTTTTTAAAATTGTAATGTTTATAAGTGAAAACTAGACTGCATGTAAATATGATTTTGGTATTTTAAAGACTGAGAATCTGAAACTGTCTTAATTGTTTTTGAGCTATTACTTATTTGTAGAAATGATGTGTACCAGATTTTTATCCATTTGTTATCCCTTTTCTGATACTTAAAGATATGATGGATCTCTGGAAGAATCCCAATAAGGAATGAACATGGGATTAAAAGCCTAGGGGGGCAGAATGGGAAGGAGCATGTTTTGAAGGGTTTGCTATTAAGAGGAGAGACTGATGACTATTCTCTCATTCTGTAAAGATGAGTGGCACTGCACAAAATGTCAAAGGGAGTCCCATACACGTGTGTATTGCTATCCTATGTTTACCAGAGGTTGATGTGGATGTTAGCATTGCATTAGTAACTCCATAGTTAAGTATGAGAAGGTACTTCGATTCTAAGGTCCTGATCAAGAACCCACTGAAGTCAAGAGAGATTGCCATTGTCTTCAGGAGGCTTTGGATCAGGTCATAAGTACCTATTTTCTTGTGTGGTTCTGCATATGTCCACTTGGGGTACTGTGCCACCTTGTGGTGCCTTGCTGAAACACTCTAGCAGCATCAGCTAGAGCATGAGTTCCCAAACTGGGGTGCATGCCCCCCTGGGGGGCGGGGCACGAGGCAACTCAGCCTCACCCACCCCTGTCAATCCCACCCCAAGTTTTGCTGCTATTTTTTGGGGAGGGGAGACATGAGGGTTTCTCAAAAATCAAAAAGGGGGCATGATGTGGAAAAGTTTGGGAACCACTGAGCTAGAGCCATGGTTCTTAACCTGTCTCTTAGTCTGTAAACTATCTAAGGGGTACACTTAGACTGAAAGACTTTGAATTCTGTTCAGTCTGTTTTCCGTCTATTATATATATCCAGATAATAGATTTCCAAAGGGATCTGCACTTCCATCTGAAAATATTTAGGGGTTTTCAATGAAATTTTTGAGAACCACTGAGTTAGAGCACTTTTTTGCTACCTGACCCTTCCTTCAGCATCACTGATGTGTACTGAAGGCAATATTTTAGGGGCAGTGCCATCCAACTGATGTGAATCTCTTCAGTCTCATGGCTGGATTCTGGGAAGATGGCTAGGCAGGAAAAGTACCCCTTAAATCCAGCTTCTCCTGTTTCTTTATAACATGGATCTGAAAAAGAATCACTGACTAAACGAACAGCTCAACACTATTGAGAGAAGATGCTTCAGTGAATGCCTGGGTAATTTATCTCCTGGGTGTTTAATCTGCCAGATCTTTACTTCTAGACCCATAAACATAGGAAGACTCACCTTCAGCTCCTTCTGAAGGAACACCTTGAGGCCAGACCTTCTGGATCTAAACAGTCCCATTGATTCAACATTTCTCCAAAAAAGGTCAGTTTTGGTGTGTATGGCACCTTAACAGCAAAGGATTGGAAATTTCTAAGAGGCTGCATCCACAGTCGGATTTGAGGATACACTAGTGGTGCTAGAGGAGTGGTAAAGAGACAGTTTGGCCTTTCTCATCAATATCATACCTCATGTCTTACAGCTTTCCCCATCAGGAAGCCAACATTAGAAGATGTGGGGTGGGGTCATTTTACAGATCCTCCTATTCTCCCTCTTCCAAGAACCACTGGATGTTCTCCATATAAAAGACAATTTCCCATATCTACTGCTGGATCTTTTGTCCCTGGTTCACTATCTCTGATCCAGACCCATATTTTTACCAAGAGGGAAACGGAGGAAAAATGCAGAGACTAACCATGTGATTGGGACATGCCTTTAGTTCTCCCTCTTCCTCTTAATATCCCACATCCTAGTTGCTAGGGAGACTGGTAGCACTGGGACCAATGATTGTACTGGGGGCCACCTCAGGAATTTTTTCAGCTATTTTTCCACATGGATGGAGAGGTAATGTCTCATCTGTGAAGGATGCAGAAGTCCAGAGATACTCTGATTTGACTCTTCCAGCTCTATTGATATTACAGGCAATGATTCATACAGTTTTGTCCAAGGGAGAAGAGGAGGAAGTGGTAGCTCCCCTCTTTTAACAGAAGCAGATGGATATAGATTATGAATCAGATATATCACCTGACGAACGTGAGGGTAATTTCAGCCTCTTCTCCATCTGAAGACTCTATGCAGTTCCACAATCTATCTGTAGATTAACTCTACCTGAAGTACCTTTTGGAAGAGACTTCTTGCTTGGTATTCAGTGTCTTTGGTGCTAACAGCTAAGAGTAGGATATCCTTACCCATCATGGATGGACTGCTATAGCCAGACAGACCTAGTTTGTCTACTGTTGCATCATTAGCCCATCGTCAAAAAAGCAGATGACTGTTCCAGATACCTTCTGAAGGTTTATCTTATGTTTGTGCCTACCTGTGTTCAGTTCCTTGGTTGTAAGTGTTGCCAACAAAAACACAAGAAAAGTGAGCAGATGCACTCCATACCTGCTGATTAAAAAAGGGCAAAAAGATCAAGTTGTCAGGGAGAAATGTGTTCTCTTCCTCATTCCTCTGTATTAGGGTAATGAAGTATGCAATCATGGCCCATTAGCAATTCCATTTATTGGGTGGGATTTTTTTTATTTTTATAGGACCTGCTGGATGACAGAAAAAGTTGGCTAATGCCTTCGTAGTAGAAAGACAAAATGTAGCTAAACATTTTATTTGAGCTGTTTCTGATATTTCAGACTCTGCTGCAAGAACTGTCATCTGTGACCAAAAGGAGATTAGCATGGCACTGTTCCTTCTCCTTAGCTATGGACACTAATTTCAAAGACCTCTTTTTTTGAAGGGGGCAGTTGGTTTAGTGGGAAAAACCAAATGAGTTACTACAAAAATGTAACAGATGAGATTGGTGGCTTATAGTCCGGGTCTCAATCCCTCTCCTACAAGGAAGCCCTCCTTTCCTTTTTAAGGTACCAAAAGCCATCCTGCCTGCAGTCCTCGTTGTCCTATTTTTTAAGAGATGATAGACCTCAGCAATACTAGCACCCAGCAGTTTCTCAGAGTCAGTTTGAAAAAAGCTTTTCAAATCGAGGTTTAAATCTAAACAGTCCACTGCACCATTAGCTTCCTCATCAGGAAGCTTCAAGCCCCAGTTTTGACGAGAGGCAAGAGTCAAAAACCAGTCAACTTGTAACAAGGTGTGCAGTATTGTTGGGGATGGTGTTCCTGATAGCCTGTAATCTGTCTTCATGTGGAATGTTGGTGTAAAGAGCTTCTACATCCATGGTTGCAAGGATGGTATTTTCAGGTAGATTACCGATGTTTTGTAGTTTCCTTAGGAATTCAGTGGTGTCACAAAGCTAGGAGTGCAGGTAGCATAAAGTCTGAGGGAGAGAGTCAATATAGCCAGATAATCCTATAGTAAGCATGCCAGTGCTTGAGATGATGGGTCGTCTGGGATTTCCAGGTTTGTGTATCTTGTGTAGAAGATAGAAAACTCCTGGTTGTGGATTTGGGGGGGATTAGTTACAGAGCTCTGCGACTTTGTCCTCACCCACAACTACTTCCAATTCAGAGACAATTTGTATCTTCAAGTCAACGGCACAGCCATGGGCACTCTCATGGCAACACAATATGCCAACATCTTTATGGCTGACCTTGAGCAACATTTCCTCAGCTCTCGCCCCCTAGCACCTTTACTCTACTTAAGTACATCGATGACATCTTCATCATATGGACCCATGGGAAAGAGACCCTTGAAGAATTTCACAAGGATTTCAACAAATTCCACCAAACCATCAACCTCTGCCTGGATCAGTCCACATGAGAAATCCACTTCCTTGACAATACACTACAATTAAATTATGGAAAAATTTCCACCACCCTATACCAGAAACCTACTGACCGCTACACTTACCTTCTTGCCTGTAGCTTCCATTCCAGCCACATTTCTCAATCTATTGTATACAGCCAACCCCTAAAATGCAACTGGATTTGCTCCAATCCCACAGACAGAGATAAACACCTACAGGAGCTATATAGAGTATTCTTAAAACTGAAATACTCACCCGGAGAAGTGGAAAAAACAGATCAACAGAGCCAAAAAAGTACCCAGACATGAACTTCTTCAAGACAGGCTCAAAAGAGAAAACATTAAAATTCCACTTGTCATCACCTACAGTCCACAACTTAAACCCCTCCAACGCATTATCAACAATCTACAACCTATCCTGGAACATGACCCCTCACTCTGAGGCCTTGGGGGGAAAGGCCAGTTCTCGCTTACAGACAACCCCCTAACCTCAAACAAATTTTTTCCAGTAACCAGGCAACACACCTCCATCATAATCAACCAGGAACCCACCCCTGCAATCAGCCCCGGTGCCAACACTGCCCACACATCTATACCAGCAATTTCATCCCTTGACCCAACCACATCAGCCACCAAATTAGGTTCATTTAACTGAACATCCACCAATGTGATCTATGCCATCAAATGCCAGCAATGCCCCACTGCAATGTATATTGGCCAAACTGGACATCTCTGCGTGAAAGAATTAATGTCCGATATCCAAAAAGTCAGTACAAAAAAACCTGTTGGAGAATATTTTAATATTCCTGGACACTCATGAATGGATCTCCAAGATGCAATTTTGTTTCAGACCAATTCCACAAGCCAAATCCACAGAGAAGGGTTGGAACTTAACTTCATTCACAAGTTTAATTCTTATTCAAATGGTATGACCTGGGATATTGGATGGCTCACACATTATCTTCCACTGTTAATGACTTAACCAAACAATGAAGGTGCTAACTGTTCTTTATCAGCCTCTTGTAATTATTTAGTCTTTAAGGGTACGTCTAGACTACAGGCTTCTGTCGACAAAGAGCGTCTAGACTACATTGAGTTCTGTCAACAAAGCAAGCTGCTTTGTTGACATGGTAGTGTAGACGCAAAGGACAGTTTACATGCAATAACACCTTCTGTCGACAGAAACTCTGTCGACAGAAGGCATTATGCCTCATAAAAGGAGGTTTACCAGCGTCGACAAAACTGCTGAGTTCTGTCGACGTTATGTCAACAGAACTCAGCGGTAGTGTGGACGCAGGTATAGTTTTGTCGACAAAAGTCCACTTTTGTCGACAAAACCCTGTAGTCTAGACACACCCTAAGGTACTACTAGACTAATTGTTGGGGTTTTTTTAGTTTTTCCTGTTACAGACTAACTTGGCTACCCCTCTGAAGCTTATATACTCACTGTCCCTCTTTTCCGTCCCCCCCCACACACACATTTTTTTCTTTCTGCCCACCTCCTCCCCCTCCCTCCTTCCCTTATTTCTTGGGTCAAGATTATTCTTTATGTAACTTGTTCCTTGAGCAGTGTTGCACATATCTATTCCACAACCCATTCTTTGTGCCCTTTCTATTGGAGCTATTCTGGTAGGAAGGAACAAAGACGATTTGGGGGTAGCACAACTTGCTATGCCTGTGCAGTGTGCATGATACAGCAGAGGGTGCTCAGGCTTCTCCATCAGGTACTGCGAAGGGTAAAGCCTCACTAGCTGCACACTGGAGCGCACAGACATGTACAGTGGAACATCTTTTGAAGCAAACAAGTAAAAATAGTTACTAGCCTCAGTTTGAGATGGCTCTGTATGTTAACACTTCCCACCCACTTTACTCTCTCTGTCAGAGACAGTGTTTCATTCTGTGTGTCTGGCTTTGTGGTGAAAGGAATTGAGGTGGGGAAGGAGCTCAGCCCCCATATATAGCCTTGCCCTCAATACTTCATTGATACTGAAAGGAGGATAGGGGTGGGAGATGAAAGTTCTCTAGCTGATGCTGCTAGAAGGTTCTACCACAAGGTGGCACAATACTGCAAGTGTGATTATACTGAATTAGGTACAAGTTGCAAGTAAGTAACCTTCATTTTTGTAAGCACTTGAATATTACTGGTATTTGAGAGGAGACCCTTTGGGTTGAAATTAATACAGGTTGAGCCTCTCTGGTCTGGCAATATCGGTGGTTCAGCATGATTTTAGCCAGATGTCCACTTATGATGGGTGTGGTCAAGCTTCCCACAATCCCATAAAGTTGGTTTACAGCCACCAGTCCTGTATTCAGTATTTTGTGCTGTTTTTTAGCTCTAATTTACTCCTAAACATCTTCTAAGAGCTCAGTAAGAAGTGGGAGTGTCGGTAATGCTGGTAAACAATACTGACCTCCCATGGTCCAACAAATTCTCTGGTTTGGCATTGGTCATGTCCCAAGAGTGCTGGACTAGAGAGGTTCTTCCTACTCCCAGCACCAAAATCATATACAGTGTTTAAACAACATTTTCTGTGTTTTGAATGATTAAAACTTGAGATTTTTCAGTCCTTGTTTGAGCTTTAAAAAAAAAAAACTTGGGCAACTTCTTAAGTGACAAAGTAGGCCTTTAACATTTTAGGTTTTGTTGTTTTTTTTTTTAACTGGTTTTCCTGTAGAATTTAAACTAATTATATTTGTCTTATTACAGAGCATCATTTTTGGCAGTAAAGTCAACTGGGCAGAGGATCCTATTTTAAAGGCAATTGTTCTACAACTTGAGAAAAATGTGAACAGTATCTGAATAAGCCAAAGAGTCTTTTTAAGCTATAGTTTTTATATAATATGCACCAATAAACCAGCGTTCAACTAGACTGACAAATGTAATAATAGCAAGACATCTTAAGAGACTTTGAAAACAGGACCTTTCTACAAAGGCTTTTCTTCTGCTCTAGTGATTCAGATGTACAATTACACAGTTGTTGGTGTAAAATGAAATCATTATTTTAATAACCTAGATTGTAACTTTACAGTCTGACCTGAGATAAAGGGCAGTTTGTAGTTGCTCAACCCTAGGAGCTATCCAGGGAGCGGAATGCAGATATCTCAATCCTGTCTGTCCCTCCATATCTCCACTTCAAGAAGCACAATCATCCTCTACTAACTGGCACACTGAAGGGTGGAACCACTACTCTGGTCTCTTTCTCTTTGCTGTGCTTCAGGGTGGGTGTCAGCCGATGGTCAGGGCAGTGTGTGTGTGTTACACCCGAGTCTTTAACTGCTAGGACACAAGGCCCCATCGCAGTGGGCAGCCTAGGGAGGCTGACGGGCGCCCCAAGAAGTTTAACATCCGTGTCTCTTACCGCTAGGACCAGGGTCCCGTCGCGGCGGGCAGCCAACAGACGCCCCAGAGTTTATAGGAAGAGCTTATTACATCTCAGATTTTAACTGCTAGGATACAGGATCCCTTCGCAGCGGGCAGCCTAGGGAAGACTGAGAGATGCCCCTACGGATCTGTCCCCTGGAAGCGACATGATCCAAACGCCCAGCTCTTCCTATATCTGTCCCTTATGACCGGCTGAAGTTCTTTTAAATTGTGTTTGGTTCTGTTACAGCAACTGAAGGAGTCAGGTTAAAGCTTAAACAGTTACAGGTTTATTAAGAAGCTTATAAATCATATGGTTACAATGGCTATTTCTCATTTCTTTACTGCTAGCAAATATAGATCTTAAAAATGGTTACAAAGAAAATAAAGATAGAAAATAGAAATAATGGTACCAAGTGACAGCTTAATCTTTAAAGAGCTCTAAGTCTATGTGTACACTTAAGACAAAGGACCACATCCAGGTACAATTTTTACCCCCTTCTTTGCTTCTCTCCTCCAGCGGGTCAAGCCAGGGCCGGTCCCTCAATTCCTAGGAAAGACGAATACGAGGTGGGCATCCCCATGGAACCGCAGGAGGCCAATCACCTAACCCGACCAGCAGATACTTTGGGTGTCAATCTATCATCTAAGTGTGCTGCTGGACCCATCTTTATACCCATAGGGGCTCGTATCCTCTTTCTTAACTAAGATGCTAAATCATGTTGGTCCATTTTTGTGACACCAGTTCTTACAAGCAAGTTTCAACTTAATTTACACTTGCAAGAGAGAGAACTAAATTGTGAGTACTGGACATTTTTTTTTACTGGGCGAGAGATTCCCCGCCCCACGGACGGCTGTGTATTCGTATCAATATGGGTTTCAGTCAAGGGCACTCCTCAGCAGCCTCTTGGTCAGCAATTGGCATATCTCTGTTTACAGCCATTCAGGGTTACAGCAGCCTGCATATCCGGTCCTTCTGTTCAAGGCTTTTACTGCTCTGTATGCTCCAGGCAAGCAAAAATGGATGTTACAGGGGGGTTCCTGTCTAGCTACACTCCCCCCACCTCCCCCATCTTCCTGGCTGGGAGTGGGAGTAGCAGTTCCTCTGGTGCTGTTCCTCCCTGAAGTGTGACTCTCACTGTAAGAGAGCAGAGAGGCAGCTCACAACTCTTATTTTCTGTATGCTTTCCTGAAGCCATGTCCCAGTACTGCATATTGTGAAAATACTAATCAGACATAGGTTGTGTAGTCAGTGTTTACAAAGGCTGCCATTGATAACTAATGTAACACTTTGGCCAAAAGTGTTTGTGTATGATTTTAAACTTTTAAAAAAGTTGTTATGCTCATTTTTATTTTGTATGACTTCAAAATGATAATCAAAACCAACAAAGCTGTGCTGTGTCTGCTACTGGAGCTCTCTAACATCAGCTTCAGTACATTTTCTGTCCTGAATCACTAACAGCCAACACACAGAATATGGGAGTTGTGCATGTGGAATTTTCATATAGGCCTTCATTCCAAACTTAAAAGAAAATTAAGTAAAAAGTAACATTGGTTTGGGGAAATGCATTTAATTAATGCAGGTAACAAATTCAAAGATGTGGTCTGAAGCTGGGGATAAAACTCTTAAGATGAAAATGTGGCTTCTGTTTTTGTCAAACTCCAAAAAGCAAAAATAGATAAAACTATATACTGTAGTTTTAAGTCTATTTCTTAGTAATAACCTTAATAAAATGACTCTGACTGCTTCTTTCATATGAATCTTGCAGTTCTTCAGAACTGGTGATCATATTAAATGACAGCTGAAAAGAAATTCATTATCTTCCATTGTTATAGCTGATTCTATTGATCCTAGAATAATATATGAGAAGGCAAATGAGGAAATGTCTTTCTTTTCTCCCTTGGACTAGTGTTTTCTGGTGAAAGGTAACAGACATGCAAAAGAGCTCAGAGTAGCTCGAAAGCTTTTCCCTTTGTCAAAGTCAGACACAGGACTCACAGATTTGTCAGACCGCTCTGTTTATTAGCAAAGCCCTTCTGCTAATACACCCAGAAAATGTGAGCACCATACAAGGCTCAAACCCATTGATTTATACAGACAAAAGAAAGCCAAATTAACAAGATTACAAAAGACAAAACTCACACGATTCCCATGAGACGAGTCACGTATCTTCATTTCTATATCAAGCCTAAGCAATCTCCTGTCCATATATCCCTGGTTATCTCAATTACTTTCTAACACCTAGGCTACGTCTAGACTGGCATGATTTTTCGCAAATGTTTTTAACAGAAAAGTTTTCCGTTAAAAGCATTTGCGGAAAAGAGCATCTAGATTGGCACGGATGCTTTTCCGCAAAAGCGTCCATGCCAATCTAGATGCACTTTTGTGCAAAAAAGCCCCGAGCGCCATTTTCGCGATTGGGGCTTTTTTGCACAAAACAAATCTGAGCTGTCTACACTGGCTCTTTTGCACAAAAGCTTTGCACAAAAGGACTTTTGCCCAAATGGGAGCAGCATAATATTTCCGCAAGAAGCACTGATTTCAGACAGTAGGAAGTCAGTGTTCTTGTGGAAATTCAAGTGGCCAGTGTAGACAGCTGGCAAGTTTTTCCGCAAAAGCAGCCGCTTTTGCAGAAAAACTTGCCAGTCTAGACACAGCCCTAATGTTCCTTTTCCTGTTATCCCAGACACACCTGACTTCATTCTGATCCATCCTGCATGCCTACAAACAACATTAACATAATCTTCTCTTTCCTGTTCAGAGACAAACAGTATTCCTTCAACTTATTCGATTATTACAGTATTTCATCTTTCTCTTACAATATAATTATTTCTACTTTCACACCTTTCACCAACAGAAGCTGGTCCAGGAGAAAAACCTCACAGATCTTTGTTGAGAGAAAAGCTATGTACCAGTCTGGTTCTTTATTCTTCCATCACCTCCGTTTTTTTCCCTTCTATCCCTACAGCTGTACCCAGGCTCATGCTTGTGGTATAAACAGCTGTGCACTTCTTTTTGAAGTATTAGCATTCTTTTGCATTCTAATTTGATACCTGCCTCCTCTGCTTCAGTCAGTACAAAGAACATGACTGCAGAGCAGGGACAGCAGCAACATTCTCATCCTGCAAGAGCAAGGCTTCCTAAAAGGGAAAACAGCAGTTAGTGGTAATGCCTCCCTAAGTGAGAGAAAATGCAGCTGTCAACATATGTGGCAATAGAGCTTCTTTGTTCGAAAGAAAGTATGTTACTCTTACTGCTAGATGTACTATCCATGAAAGAAACTGGTCCAGTGCTCATGACAACAAAGCTTCACTTCTCTCAGCCCCCTGGAAGCCACTGCTTTACAGAACAAGCGGTCATAGAATACTTGAACTGGAAGGGAACCCAAGAGATCAAGTCCAGGCTCCTGCCTTCATGGCAGGACCAAGCACTGTCATGATCCCTGATGTCTATCCAAACTGCTCTTAAATATCTCCAGAGATGGACATTCCACAACCTCCCTGGGCAATTTATTCTAGTGTTTAATTAGCCTGACAGGAAGTTTTCCCTAATGTCCAACCTAAACCTCCCTTGCTGCAATATAAGCCCTCACTTCTTGTCCTGTCATCAGAGGCTCTTCTCTGGACCTTCTCCAATTTCTCTACATCTTTCTTGAAATGTAGTGCCCAGAACTAAAAACAATACTCCAATTGAGGCCTAATCAGCGCAGAGTAGAACGGAAGAATGACGTTTCATGTCTTGCTCACAACACTTCTGTTAATGAATCCCAGAATCAAGTTTGCTTTTTGTTTTGCAAAAGTGTCATGCTGTTGACTCAATTTAGCTTGTGGTCTGCTATGACCTCTATATTCCTTTCTGCATTACTCCTTCGTAGACAGTCAATTCTCATTCTGTATGTGTGAAATAGAAAGGAAAAATCCAAGTGGAGTACTTTGTATTTGTCCTTATGAAACTTTGTCCTGTTTACCTCAGACCACTTCTCCAGTTTGTCCAGATCATTTTGAATTATGACCCTATCCTCCAAAGCACTTGCAACCCCTCCCAGCTTGGTATCATCTGCAAACTTAATAAGTGTACTTTCTATGCCATCATCTAACTCGATGATGATGATTTCAACCCTCTGACCACAAGCTCCTATGGAAGAACTGCATGAGCTTTACCATAAGAGAGAAGTGCTAGCTAAGATAAGCATAAGATACACTTCTCTTCTTCATGTTACTAAGATACAAACATTTTGTGACCCTACTAGCCACTGCACTGATTATCACCTCCCTTTAATAGTAGCAGGTATGAAACAGAGTAAAGAACTTGATGGCTTTCCTGCTGTATTTTACAAGATATTTCAGGAGGTAATAGTGGGTACCTTGAAAGGAATTTTCAGTACCATTCTATTGCGTAGGAACTTCCATAGCCTCTGAAAGAAGTTATTGTAGTGATTAGGGATGTAACATCCCATTTAATTGGTTCACATGTTAAATATATAGGGAAGTGGGAGCTGCACCAGCCTAACCAGAGTAGCGCCTGCCTGTGGGATACCCAGGCCTGCCATGGATGCTGGAGCCAGGGCCCACCGTAGATAGGGGTGGGCCCCCACCAGTTAACCTTTAAACCTCACCCATTAAGGGTGAGGCATTTGGTTAAACATTCACATTTCTAGTAGCAGTTGTCCCTAAAGCTGGAAAAGACACCTCTTCATTTGGCTCCTATTGAGCCATATTGCTGCTGCATTGTAGGTAAAATTACTAGCCAGCCTGTTACAGATGGTGTTCTTACCTTTTATATAAATGAAGATCAGATTTGATTTGTCTGTCCTTAATAAATGTCAGACACCATTTAAAAGTACTTGGAATCATTCATAGAACAAAAACAAATAATCTTTTGTTACTTCTTGCAGAGAAAGGCTTTTCTATAATGAAGTGGAACTTTGTTTTAAGTCCTATCCTATATGGACATTGTCCCTAATTCCTTAAATGTCTCTATACCAGTCCAAAAACAGCTGTGAGTTAATGGGATTAAATCTGCTCTGTTTGAATTTCACAGAGGGATTAAGCCCTCTGTCTCTTACTTTTTGCACTGATGCTAAGGAACAGTTAATGTATCATAAGAATAAAACTCTCAGAACACATCAGAAAATAGCTTTATATATAGATGTAATATTTTTATCTAAGCCAAATATTACTAAATATAGTTTTTAAAGAGATCTAGCACCTTGAGAAAGTGGTGGGTTTCAAATAAATTGTACCAAACCTGAATTGCCAGCTATAAATTTTTTTAGACTCTGAAGTCACTCTTCCAGAAACTGTCTGGGTACAAAAAGGGCAGATAAGATGTGTAGAAATTCAAATCTCAAACTAGAAGAGCTCTGTGATTTAAGTGTCAAACCATAACTTCAGCAAACTAAAAAAGATCTGCAGTGCTAGGGGGAAGTCTGCAATTTCTCAGTTCAGAAGAGTTGCCTCAGCCAAAATGAACATTTTGTTAATATCTTTCTTGATTACAAAATATTTTGAAAACATGTAAAGTAAAACATGGGCAGGAACACAGAACATAGTGTTAGAATGTACATGGAATAAGAAATAATGAAGCATATATGCAGATATTTTGTATTATCCTATTAAACATGGTGGACTCTTACCAAGCGCAAAGCAATAGTGGATTGGTGACACTCTTGACACAGCCAAATATTGGGTCATTCTTGAACAAGAAATTTGTGCAAATGTAAACCTCAGTAGATGAATTAATTTAAAAAAATCATCCCATCTAGAAAATAAAACATCTTTTAGCAAAGACTCTGTGGCTACATCTATACTGCAGGCTTCTTGGGCAAGAACGGCCGTTCTTGTGCAAAAATTTGTGGAGCTTCTACCCTGCACACACATTCTTGCACAAGTAAATTTACAGTAAGGCATCAGAACAGAGAGCTTCTTGCGCAAGAGTTATTCCTCTCCTCAAGAGGAATAAGCCCTCTTGAGCAAGAAGGCAGTGTGGACGGAAAATGGGTTTCTTGCGCAAAAGCACATGGCAGTGTGGACGTGCTCTTGAGCAAGACCTTTTGCGCAAGAACTCTTGCACAAAACAATTGCACAAGAAGCTTGCAGTGTAGATGTAGCCTGTGAGTTTGAGATTAAAACTAAAGGCAAGCTTTTTTTCGTACCCAATGACACTTATAAGTAATCCAATTTTGAACCAAGCAATGAATTAGACTATTTTAAAGATTCAAAGAGCCATAGAATACATATCTTTGGCCAACTATTCAGTAAAGAAACTTTTCTAACTTACTTAGAAATCAAAATTTACTCGTCCTCTCTTTGGTAAGCACCAATACTTTTGTAGTTATAGTGGAACACAGGTTAAACGTGAGTTAAGCATGTAGTGTGACACTTGCAAAAAAAGTAATTGTGATTCTGGGATGCATTAACAGGAGTGTTGTAAACAAGACTCAAGGGCTGCATCTAGACTGGCAAGTTTTTCTGCAAAAGCAGCTGCTTTTGCGGAAAAACTTGCCAGCTGTCTACACTGGCTGCTTGAATTTCCGCAAGAATACTAACGATCTCTCGTAAGATTGTTAGTGTTCTTGCGGAAATGCTATGCTGCTCCCATTCGGGCAAAAGCCCTCTTGCAAAAATGCATTTGCGCAAGACGGCCAGTGTAGACAACGCGGTATTGTTTTGCGCAAAAAAGCCCTGGTCGCAAAAATGGTGATCGGGGCTTTCTTGTGCAAAACCGCGTCTAGATTGGCACGGACGCTTTTCCGCAAAAAGTGCTTTTGCGGAAAAGCATCCGTGCCAATCTAGATGCTCTTTTCCGCAAATGCTTTTAACAGAAAAACTTTTCTGTTAAAAGTATTTGTAGAAAATCATGCCAGTCTAGATGTAGCCAAGAAGGCTCCAAACCCCCCCAGCCCCCATGCTTATCTGGTTCCCCAAGGCTGCCAGCACAAAATGGCTGCCGGCCAAAAGACCAAGGGGAAGAAATGCTTCCCCTGGGTCTTAGTGCTCAACCGCTCCCCTGTTCCTATCTCTGCACTCACTTTTAAAGTGAGGGAAGACTGAAAGAATTGGGCTAATTTAATTTAGAAAGAAGAGTGAGAGGGGACATGATAGCAGTTTTCAAGTACAGGCAGTCCCCGGGTTACGTACAAGATAGGGACTGTAGGTTTGTTCTTAAGTTGACTTTGTATGTAAGTCGGAACTGGCTCCAGATTCAGCCGCTGTTGAAACTGACCAGCAGCGGCTGAATCGGACACGACTGGGGCAGAGCAGCTGGAGTGCTTCTGGGTTGGTCTGGTAGCGCCGACCCTTGGCACGGTGGGACCAACCTGGCAGCACCCCAGCTTCTCTGCCCCCAGCTTCCCCAAGTCAGACGCTAAGAGCTGTTGCTCCCAAGGTGGGGACTGTAACACAATGGGTCTCACTGCCTGCTGCTCCTGCTGTTCCCTAGGAAATTACTTTTTCTGCTCTGGGGTGCCCCCGTTTGGCTGGTGTCTTGTTCCCCCCAGCAGACCCGCGTCCTCTGCAGCGAGAAAAGCCGCTCCCAGCGTCTCCCTGGTCTGCTGGGGGGAAGCACCGCCAGAGGCGGTGACAGTGGGGGAGGCACCCCGCACTAGCGCGGCCCCCCCAGTTCATAACTAGGGGTCCGACTTAAGTCGGACCCATGTAACCCAGGGACTGCCTGTATCTAAGAGTGTCACAGGGAGGAGGGGGGAAATTGTTCTCCTTGGCCTCTGATGACAGGACAAGAAGTTAATGGGCTTATACTGCAGCAAGGGAGGTTTAGGCTGGACATTAGGGAAATCTTCCTGTCAGGGTGTTTAAACACTGGAATAAATTGCCGAGGGCGGTTGTGGCATCTCCATCTCCAGAGATATTTAAGAGCAGGGTGGATAGACATCTATCCCAGGTTTTAGACAGTGCTTGGATCTGCTGTAGGACCATCCTTCCCGTTCTAGGATTCTGAGAGTCAGGTATTATGTCTCAAGCTTTCTCAAAAAACTGCTGAATGCAGAAAGATAATTTTAACAAAAGTGATGGCATTATAACTTACTTTATTTGGTGTCAAGCCAAGCTATGCTACAGTGTTTTTTTATGTTAACTGACTGAAAGCAGCCATAGTTATTGTATACATGTTTGCTGGCCGCTGTTGTAGAAGACAGATGGAAATGAGTCATGCCCAGGAGGTAGCTGAAGGAAGGAACCGGTCTTGTAGCCGGCTGCAGTCCATATGGCGCACAGCTTACATCTCGGCTTTCTTTCCCCTTGTCCTACTGTCTTTGCGGAGGGTCAGATACTTGCTCCAGGCGTGGTTTCGCAGGCGCCACCAACATCAGTGCGGGCAAGGGAGATGGGCTGGACCGGCGCGCAACGTTAGCCTCAAGGGGCAACTCAACGCACAACAGGCATTTCTCGTTCGCCCAGCTCCCGCAGAGACCGTGACTACATCTCGGCTTTCTTTCCCCTTGTCCTACTGTCTTTGCGGAGGGTCAGATACTTGCTCCAGGCGTGGTTTCGCAGGCGCCACCAACATCAGTGCGGGCAAGGGAGATGGGCTGGACCGGCGCGCAACGTTAGCCTCAAGGGGCAACTCAACGCACAACAGGCATTTCTCGTTCGCCCAGCTCCCGCAGAGACCGTGACTCCGGCCCCGCCCGCCAGCTGGGTCTGGCCCCGCCCCTCGCAGGGCTCCTGACTCC